TCAGTGCAGCATTTCAGGCTCAGAGCCTGCAAACTCTTTGGCATGCATGTCTAATGGGACTGCTTCCAGGCATAAAGTTGCTCATCTGTGTAATGCTAGCTGGGTCAGGACCTTTATTCATTAGAAACTTATCCTACAAGTCCTTACTCACTTGAGAAATCCATGCTTACAAGAACCACTCATGTGAATAAGGGCTTGCTGAATAGTAATATAATACTCTTAATATCTGAAAGCCTTTATTTAATTTGTTGTAAGAGTGCTAGTAACATGACATTATGAAATAGTGAAAAAAGTCAGAAAAGTCCTTGCCTAATAATTAGATAATGCAATAATTAATTAGCTAACTGACTTGTGAAAAAAGGATATTCTATGATTTGGTGAACAGATTATTTTAGGTAAATTAAGGTTGTAATGTAGATTAAGAAACATATTCATGGTCTTGTTCAGTTTCATATTTTCATTTGAATTTTCACAACTAGTGTTTCAAATGTAGAGTAAAAGGACTTGCACTAAATGAGTTAACAAATTGAGTCAGGATTTTCTCTTTATGTATGATCACTTCTTAACAAAATTATGAATTATATTCTATTTATAATTAAAGCACAAGAGCTAGCTCACTGTGGTGCAAACGCACTGTTAAATAACCTGATTTGGACCGCTACTTCATGTCCTTGACTTAAAATACAATGTCTGCCGATTCCTTTCCCTGATGCAACACTTCTGATTGACGGTTTGCTTTTGAGTATGATCACTTCTTTACAAAAATGCCTCAGAAAGAAGCAGTATAGAAGCTGCATCAAATATCTGCATAAGATAACTGATCTATAGTATGGAAAAAATAAATGGTTTTATAATGCATAAGGCTAGATAAACTATTTGTAAACAGCAGATTCCTAAGTTATGTTTCTTGCTATCAAAAGACTATGCAGTTGTGTCAGTAAATGTCTAGTAATAAAACACCTGTGAAGACTGAAGATTTAAAAAGCCAGAGATTTTTTTTTTAAACACTTGGGCTTTCTACAGAGTGCTAGGAATATTCCTTCATCCGTCGAACCCCAGCAGTAGCCTGTTTGCAGTCTTTTTTCTAGTTAAAGATGGATGGGAAAACCCTCGTAGCACTTAGCATTTTACCTCTCTTCTCTTCCTGAGAAACCCTTGCTCTGGCATATTGATGCTAGTGAGACCCCTTTTTCCAGCTTTCTCTGCCTTCTTTGGAAACAGTGCTGGGATGATGCATCACTCTCTTTCCCCCTCTCTCTTTCCTCCACTTCTAATAGCTTAGTGGGAAATAGGGATTCTGGCCTAACGACATTTCTAACCAAGTGACTGGATTTGTAATGTCCCTGTGTCCTCAGCTCTCAGGGTGTCCCAGTTTTCAGTTATGGCACTCTCACAGAGTTCGTGGCAGAACTGGCAGGACCACCCACACATTATGTCAGCTTCAGAAGTGTTGCATCAGGGAAAGGAATCGGTAGACGTATTTTAAATCAAGGACATGAGGTCGCAGTCCAAATCAGGTTATTTAACAGTGCGTCTGCACCACAGTGAGCTCTTGTGCTTTAATTATAAATAGAATATAATTCGTAATTTTGTAAAGAAGTGATCATACATAAAAGAAAATCCTGACTCAATTTGTTAACTCGTTTAGTGCAAGTCCTTTTACTCTACATTTAAAAAATTGTGTAGCCGTGAAACTTCAAATGAAAACTGGAAACTGAACAAGCCCAAGAAAATGCTTCTTAATCTACAGCAAATAACCTTATTTGGCTGTTGCATCACATCTTACATATTTAATGCTGTAAAAAGGCATGTAAAGTTGTAACATAAAATGTCTTAAGTATAAGCCGTGGGATATGTTTTCTGGAAGTACAGAGTAGAAACCTTTTCATGGGGCAAGTCTACACTTTTCATTAATGCACCTTTGCTAGCGCATGTTAAGTTTAGCACCTCTAATATGAGGGCACCTATACACGTGCCGTGTATTGGCAGCCCTGTGCTTAAAAAAGGCAGTGGGGGCACTTGAACTAAACGTCATCAAAGGAGGGACACTGATACACGAGATGCAGTGTTGCTTTAATTAGAGCAGCTCTCTGAGCAGCTGCCTCAATCCCCACCCCTGAAGCACATGTAAAAATGCCTTTAGGTAGTACATAAAGGTGCACATTAGCCTGCGCTAATGCACAGTAGGAAAGGCAAACAGTTTTTTTGTGACACAGTGCTCAGTAGACTAATTCTATTGCACATTAGTACGTTAGTATATTTTTTGCCGTGACACGCTAATGTGCAGTAAAATAGTCTACTGCACATTATAGCGTCTTATGTAGATGTGACCACAGTGAAGTTTAGCACAGAAAATGTTGCTGTATCCCCAATATAACACAGTTATATTGCACAGTTGAGCCCATGCTTATAATTAAAGCATGCATAGCACTGTACATGTGCTTAACTCTAGCTCTAAACCAGGGGTGGGCAATTATTTCCAGTGGAGGGCTGCTTACTGAGTTTTGGCAAGCCATTGAGGACCTCATGACAAGCAGCCAGGGGAAGATAAATGTTAATTTTCTATATTTTTTAGGGGTCCCACGGGCCAAATAGAATGGCCTGGAGGGCCGCATCCAGCCCACGGGCCACATTTTGCCTACCCCTGCTCTAAGGTCATGGATACCTAGTTTGTGAATCAGGGCTTCACTGTTGAACTGGCTGAATGGTAGCAAATGGTGTTTAAAGGAGAGGAATGTAAATAAAACACGTTTAAAGGAAAATTTATAAACTATTTTGCCCATTGGTTTCAGGAAGGAGTTGGAGTTACTTAAGAGCAATTGAGAACGTTCGGTGAAGCCATCTGGTTAGTGTATAGCCATAGTCACAAAGACAAACAGATAAGGTAGATGCGTGTGTGTGTGTAATGAAGAACTGTGAGCAGGCCATTTTATCCAGGTAACGGCGTGTTTCTCTTATTCGCCCATTTTCTGTTCTGCTGGCATCAGCAGCTAACGTTCTAGCATGGGAATGCAGCATAGCTGAGAGTCCTTCCACAAACAATGAGGCTGATTGATGATAATGCAGAGAGAGGAGAAAACACAGTTTAGGTAAATCTATACAAGAATTTTTTTCTAAATGCATCAAATTGGAGAGAGATCCAGTCAAGGGTGACTGGTGCCTCCTGAGACACCGGAGGGGGGCACAGTTTGTGGATGGCAGTGGGGTGGCGCGAGCAGTGACCACCCACAGAAGCTGGTGGCGGTGGCAGCCAATCTCAGGGGGAGGGTGGGGGCACAGGCCCCACACAGACTTAAGAAGAGAGGCTGAGGGAACTGGGCTTCTTTAGTTGGTAGAATAGAAGACTGAGGGGGGATTTAATAACAGCCTTCAATTATCTGAAGGGTGGTGACAAAGAGGATGGATCTACACTGTTCTCAAGTTGCAGCAAGGGAAGTTTAGGCTAGATATAAGGAAAAACTTTCTCACTAGGAGGGTAGTAAAACACTGGAACAGGCTACCCAGAGAGGTGGTGGAATCTCCATCCTTGGACATTTTTAAGACCCAGGTAGACGCAAGCCTTGGCTGGATGCTATAGTTGGGGATGGTCCTGCTTTGAGCAGGGGGTTGGATACTAGATGACCTCCTGAGTCCCTTCCAGTCCTCATTTTCTATGACTCTAAATGAAAGCCTGCTAATGACTGTACATTGGTTGTGGGTGGGGGAGTTGCAAATGCCAGTTGAAATTTGCGGAATAAAGGAAACCACCAAAGGGAAAGAAAAGGCTTTTATTCTTTGTCTCCTTATGATGTGTAAAGTA